CATTAGATCAGATGGACTTAATGGATATCTATAGAACATTCCACCCAAAAGCATTGTCTCAAGTGTCCATGGAATGTCTCCAGAAGCAATCACATACTAGGCCACAAAATAGAGCCTAAATAAATTCAAAGATTGAAATTATAGCAAGTAGCTTCTCAGACCACTGGTAGGAATGCTATGAAACTAGAAATAAGTTACACAAAGAAAACAAAAAAGCCTACAAACACATGGAGGCTAAACAGCATGCTTCTACATAACCAATGGATAAACGAACAAATTAAAATAGAAATCAAGCAATACATGGAGAAAAATGAAAATAAAAATTCAACAGCCCAAAATGTGTGGGATGCCACGAAGGTAGCTCTAAAGGGAAGTACATAGCAATATAGGCCTACCTCAAGAAACAAGAACAATCCCAAATAAATAGTCTAAACTCACAATTAAAGAAACTAGAAAAAGAAGAACAAATGAATCCCAAAGCTAGCAGGAGTAGGGACACAATAAAGATCAGAGCAGAAATAAATAAAATCGAGAAGAATAAAACAATAGAAAAAATCAAGGAAACCAGGGGCTGGTTCTTTGAGAAGATCAACAAAATAATCAAACCCCTAACCAGACTTATCAAGAAAATAAGAAAGAATATATAAATAAAGAAATCAGAAATGGAGAAATAATAATCACAATGGACACCACAGGAATACAAAGAATTATTAGAGAACACTATGAAAAAGTATATGCCAATAAATTGAACCACCTATTAAAAAATAGACAACTTCCTAGAAAAACACAACCTTCCAAAACTGACCCAGAAAGAAACAGAAAATCTGAACAGAACAATTACCAGCAGTAAAATCAAATTGGTAATCATAAAACCCCCCCAAAACAGGGCTCCACAGCTGAATTCTACCAAACATTTAAAGTAGAGCTAACATACATCCTTCTTAATGTAATACAAAAAGTAGAAGAGGAGGGAATACTTTTAAACTCATTCTGAGGCCAGCATCACTGTAATAACAAAACCAGACAAAGACACCACAAAAAAAGAAAATTATAGGCCAATATCCCTGATGAACATAGGTGCAAAAATCCTCAAAAAAATATTAGCAAACCAAGTTCAAAAATACATCTAAAAGATTATCCATCATGACCAAGTGGGATTTACTCCAGGGATGCAAGGATGATACAATATTCATAAATCAATCAATATCATACCCCACATTAATAAAAAGAGGATCAAAACCACATTATCATATCAATAAATGCTGAAAAAGCACTTGACAAAATTCAACATCCATTCATGATAAAAACTCTCCACAAAATGGGTATAGAGGGCAAGTGCCTCAACATAATAAAGGCCATATATGACAACCCACAGCCAACATCATACTTAGTAGTGAAAAATTGAAAGCTGTTCCTGTAAGATTGGTAACAAGGACAAGGATGCCCACTCTCCCCACTTTTATTAAACATAGTACTAGAAGGCCCTAGCCATGGCATTCAGACAGCATAAAGAGATGAAAAGCATCCAAATTTGTATGGAAGAAGTTAAACTGTCACTGTTTGCAGGTGACATGATATTGCACATAAAAAACCCTAAAGATTCAACTAACATTGTTGTGGGAGCTGGTGGAGCCGGTTATAAAGTTGTTCCTCTACATTCAGTGTTGATATGCAGTGGCTATAGATCAGCCAAAATGTCAATCAGGGAGGAAAGCTGGTTGTTAATGAGAGTAAGGAGAAACTGGAATCTTTTGAAATTGAAATGACTTGAAAGCCACGAGGACAACTGAAACTCAGGAGGACAAACAGAAACCATGTCTGTCTCACACATCTCCAATCTCAATGGTATGGGTAACCACAGGAGAAGCTGGCACCCTGCATCCCAAAACTGCACTTGTACTTGAACGTGGCCTTAGAGCAGCTGAACAATGAGATCTGATGGTGTCTAGAGAGCCGCAGGGCCGGGTACTGCCCCACACCAACAAGGTGAGCCAGGAGATCAGCAGCAACGTGAGCTACGTGGTGCTCTGCACTGACTTTCCAAGAGTAAAAAATGTATGACGCCAACTTCACTTCTGCCTTCTACAGCTCACAGAAAAGGTGTCCCATAGCTAACCCTAACCCAGTCCAACCCATATAGAGGGAAGGCGATTCTGTGAAATATAGTTCCAGCTTGCCAAAGTCACCACCTCAGCTCTAAGTCAAGATACTTCATTTCCTTTAGCTATAAACTTCAGAACACATGGATTATTGTGAGGATAACAGAAGATGCCAGCAAGTGTTGTAGCACAGGAAATAAAGTCTCATCCATTTAAACTGAAAATTCTACATTTTTGAAACACCCAAATTTATAATTTCAATCTACAATTTCCCTTAATTTTTTTTGAGTTTGAGTTTCATTTATCCAGTTGCCTCCTTGCCATCTCCTCTTGGATACCTAATAAATATATCAAAATTATGTATAAAACTGAACTTTTGACCTTTCTCTCTCATCTGCCTCCCAAATCAAACTGTTCCACTTTCTGTCTTCCCCATTTAGTAAATGGCAACTTGAGCTTTCTTAATGCTTAAACCAAAAATCTTGGAGACATTCTTGACATCTTTCTCTCATACCTCATAGCCAAGCCACCAGAAACCAGAACTCCTGTTGTTTCAAGATACAAAATATAACCACCTCCACTGCTACCACCTTGGCTTAAGCCACCACCATTGTCACTCATCTGGATTATTGTCATAGTCCCCTAACTAGGGCTGCCAGATAAAATACAGGCTACCCAGTTAAATTTGAATTTTGGATAAAAAAATAGGTAACTTTCTAGTTTTGGTGTGTTCCATAATGCATCCTTTCCCTGAAATGCTCTTTTGCATCTATGTGGCAAGCTCCCACACTTCTTCAAGTATTTCTTTAAATGTCAGTTTTTCAGTAGGCCACCTTTCTCTGACCTCGTTTTACATTGCGGCCCCCTCCCCAGTACCCTATCTCCCCTCCTCTGTTAATTTTTTCCATAGCAATTATTACCATCTAACATACTAAGTATTTTTTGTTTACCGTCTGCCTTCCCACCTCAGAATCTAAGTTCCCTGGGAGCAGTGTTTTGGGTTTTGCTTTTGTTGTTTGTTTGTTGCTGTCACCATCCATACTCAGAACAGTGCCTCATTCACAGTAACATTCAACAAATATTCGTTAAATGTATGCATGCATGCATGGATGAATGAATGAACAAACCTGTATCTGAACAGGGATATCTGAGCAAAATTTAACTTTGGCCAAGAGCTTACTGGAGAAAGAGAGGGAGAAAGATGGGTATCTACTGTGAGTCCTTGACAGATTTGGAGGCATTTCCCAAAGCAGAGTGAAGATAAAAGCTTTAAAACAGTGCTTTTTATATTTTAATACACATACAAATCACCTGGGATTCCTGTTAACATACAGGTTCTGGTTCAGCAGATCTGGAGTGGGGCCTGATAGCTTCAATTTCTTATGAGCCCCTGGGTGATGCTAAGCCTGGTGGTCTAGGAACCACACGTTGAGTAGCAAGGTTTGAAGGCATTACTGAAGCCTGGTCTCAAGGTAAGTTGGCCAAAATGTGGTCAGCTGGCAAATGTTGCCAGTGGTTCAACCTCAGAAGGAAGAGAGTAATTTATTTTGAACAGAGGCAGCTGATTCACTGTGACTATTTGAAACAAGGACTTTGCCCAACAACTGTAGCTATAAATTTAAGAATGCACTTGACGGTGCTGCAACGCAGGAGCATTATTTTACTTGAACTGGCACCAACATGAAGACTAACAATTATGGATGAAAAGGAAAGGCTAAAGTGCTAAGTTTAAGAACACAAAGGACTGTGATTGGTATAGAGAATATTTGGGGCAAGCAGGCTATTTCGGTGCTCTTCACATCATGCCCTATGGGGTCTTCCTACAGGCAAAAGCAGCTCCCTTCAAAATAGGAAACTAGCAACTCAGCTCCAGACCAGTAACTGACCTACACACCCTACTGGCTGTGCCTTAGGTATTTTACTCATGTTTCCCTTTCCAATCCTATTTCATCATGCCAAATAATCCCAGGGATTTAGGGGGGATTGGGGGGAGAGGATGAAAAGTAGTTTTTCTTTACAAATCAGTTAAAACCTTTTTCTTAATTCAAAGAAGTGTTTGGTATGGGAATGTCCTGCAGATGGGACCCTGACACACTGTACAGGGCCCCCCAAATGCAAGAAAAGCTCCATTCTCTGTTAAGGTCATTTAGGATAGACAATCTATCAAGAATGTATTAGAGACTACAAAGGAAAGGAGGACAACTGTATTCCTTTGCTTCTCATCCTCACGACATGATACAGCAGGTGGAGTGGAGTCTGAAGGAAACTGTATTTTTTCCTTCCCATTCTTAGCAAATGTGTGGTGCTGCCTCCAATTCTGACCCCTCACTGATTTAACAGTAAAAAAGAGAGAAAGAGAAAGAAAAAAACTAAAAACCACAGGGTACTTCAGAACTGCTAGTAGAGGAGCTGGATGATTTTAACAAAAGAGACACTGACAAAAAGAAATTTTTTTACAATACTATAATTATAAAGTTGAAGGCACATCCTTGGCAGAAATATGATCAAGTACATGCTATAGAAAAACAAACTACTGAATATTTTGACTATAGTAAATAATTATTGCACAACATCATAAACTGTTGTTTGGGGTATTAAACAATCAATGTTTAACAATGTTTTGTTAAACATTTCTTCAACTAAAAACATGAGGTTGAGACACCTGGTTTTAGCTACAAAAGGTTTATTATCAATGCCATTACAGAAGCTCTTTTAATTGAAGAAAAAGAAGTCAGACTTTTGTGCTTTATCTGCTTACTCATACCAGATAAACTTTCAGAGGTACTACAGAAAGTTAGTGTAAAACTTGATAATAATTTGGCATGAATCTATTTTTTTTACACTTGGTAAAACAGTATTTTTTTTAATATAGAAAAGTGAGAAATAAACAAAAAATCCGGAGTGATTCCAGGAATGTTTTTATTCTTATTGAAATAACCAGTAACCAGATGCCTCACTGCAAGAAAATAACAAAATAGAGTAAAATAAATATTAAGAAAAATAATTTTAAAGCATGATCCACAAGGAATGGAAAAAGAATTCTCTAAGAACATACATTCTTGATCTTAAGCTTTGTACATAAAAGATATGCACGCTTCAGTTTTTGGAAACATCCTCTCTATGATGCTATGTTAAGCAATATGAACAAAGAATACATCTGAAAAAAGAATAGTTAAAGCACAGTATAAAATTATTTGTTCACAGGCATCAAATTTAACACTCTAAATGTTGATACTAAACTAGGAAAAGTAACATTTCTATTTTCACAACTGACAACCATACTTCTTGAGACTACAACACTAAATATTCTAGTTGAGTTTTAACCTTTGAAATTCAAAAGGCATCTTTGGATATTTAAGATAAAAGGTGCCCTATAGTTGAGTTTGAACCTACACTGGATATCAAAACACCCTTGTTATCTTCAGACAGGGAATGGCTGCTGAGTGAATACCGAAGAGTGATAAAGGAACAACAAATAAAGAACTCCAAATATCAAATTCAAATATAAATCTATTTTCCTTCTATATAGTAATATGTGTGTGCATATATATGTGCACATATGTATATGAATACACACACATACACACACTTATAAAATTTGTTCTATTAACTAGGTACTCAAAGCTAGTTACTAACTGAAAGCAATGCTTTTGATCCCCTCCATATATCACCTCCCTCTCCTGTGAATACAGCTGCTCTGTGAAGCTAATGGGAGTTCTGGATTACAAAAGAGACTTGTGATAGAAAATTCAAAGATGACTACAGATATTTAAAGCAGGATTCTTTCTGAACAAAATGTTTCCTATTCTGGTAATAATGGCTGAAATGATATCCTTGTTTTTTCCCAGACTACAGGCTGCTCTTCTCACTGTCCTAGGACATGGGGGTCCCCCTGGCATGTGGGGGCTAAAAGGATGACTCAGACACACGCATAATAATAAAAACATTAACAGGCTATGTACAAGTGCTTCAGAGAGAGAGGAGTGAGGATGAGGAAGAGAGAGGTACTTCTTTTTCAAAAGTCTATTCTACATTTTGTCATATCAGCTGTTTCTTCTAGAAGAAATACATTGTGGTATGGGCCACTGGAATTAAAAATTTTCAAAATATTAAAATTCAAACTGGAAGCATGGACAATGGCAGAGGTATTGGTCTAAAAAAGAGCCTGCATATACAAACTCATTCATATTTCATGAAAATGAGTTTGCCTTTCTAGATTAATAGCACCTTCATCAAAAGTTTCAGTTCTCTCTTTATAACTGAGATAAAAATGAGATATTTTCCAAATCTGAAAAGATAGCATGTAATAATGTTGTAAACTGTTTTGCGTGTATGAAAGGATAAGAGAGAAAGGAAGTAGGAGAGGAAGAAACCCATCCCCCACTCCCAGCTGATTTTAGACTTTGTCCTATAAAAATGACTTTTAGTATTTATTTCTGACCTCAAGGGGAGAAAAGGACTAACATTTACTGAGTACAAATCCTATGTGTTAGTAGCTTCCCATTTGGCAATGGGAACAAAATACTAGAAATTTATTTATGAGTTCTCTTCACTTACATATTTTGCATATGAAATCCAGCTTGCAATTTAATTTAAATGAATTAAAATTAAATGAAATTTAAATAGTGACACAAGTGCTAACTCCCAGGCACTCACTAGGGAATGTTCTAAATCTATATGGCAATGAGAACAAGCCCCTGAATTTGTGAACGATGCTAACTAGCAAGTGCAAATGTGTTAAACTAGAGAAAAGTATAGATTTGGTCAAGAGGTATCACAACCTAGGGAGAGTCTCATTTCTGTATTACAATTTATTGTACTTTTTGGTAAAAGCAGTTTCGTGTAACAGCATTACTTTAAAGTCATTTTGAGAGGTTATCTAAAACACTAAAAGATAACTAAAATCTATTAAATCATATATACCAGTTAAGGTCTTATATTCTCTCCATTAAAGAACAAATTTGGTGAATCCAGGTAATTTTACATGACCTGTATATGTTAAAGATGGTAGTGTTAATCTTATTTTAAAAATTAATTGTGAAAGAGGCTCAAAAGCTTAAGCTTCTGGACTGAGGCTGACAGAGTACACTAAAAACAACTTGTAGCTGAACTCAACAAGAGTGAACTGAAAGCCTGCACAGAGCTAGAGAGTCATTGAAGGAAGAATCTGATATATTTTTACCACAATGAGAAGACGGCAAGCAGGGAACTCTACAGACCCTTACGATCTTTTGAGCTACAAGTTAAAGAAAGGAACAAGATATTGGAAAAGGTGTCAGCTATTTTTATCAATGAAAAACTATCACCAGCTAAGAAGATAACAAAAGAAAATGCACCAGGGCATCTAAGAAAGCAACTGCAAAATCAAAGACACAGGGAGAAAGAGAGGGGGAAGAAAACCTGTAATAAATAAGGTATTTCTGTTTTTAAATAGTTTCTACTGTTTTCCTTCTAAAACTAGATGCTTTATATAGTGCTTTGAAAGCCACTGTTTCCAATCTGGCAGGGATAAGAGCTCAGGAATCTCTTCAAGATCAGGCTCTCAAATCTTCAAAATTTTAATTATCCTTTCTTTGAGCCTTCTTTTTTTGCCCAATAGAAAATTATCACTTCAGCAACAATTTGGCAATCTTCAATTATAGGGCTTGTTGTAAACTTCACTGGCCCACCTTACCTGTAGCTAGTGAAAGCAACAATTACCAGAATCATTTTAAATAAAGCTATGTTCAGAGCCAATGCCCTGAAAAAAGATATTTTTCCCATTAGACAAATACAACTCAAATAGAAACCCTATCTTAAGAGTGTGAGACCCAGATAAAATCCTTCCACAGTATTTTGAAAAGCTAAGGTGACATCACGAATGCTGTGTCTGTGCGAAACAACATCAGCTAGTTAGCACCCTCTGTCTGTGGCCTGTTACAATGTGGTGTCGTCATCTTCCCAGCGGTCTCCCACCAGGAGTGAGTGCTTGTCAGGTTCACTGGTACCAGCGCTGTTTAGAGACCGTTTATCAGAAAGCAACGAATTTATGGAGGCTCTGCTGTAATTAACAATCCGGTCCAGCAAACCCAGTTTAGGAGAATTTCTTGAGGTGTCATCTATTCCAACATGAACGCTGATTTCTGAAGGACTTTTCTGTCCCATCTGGCTTCGGGCATGCAGTTCATAATTCTCATAAGTTGGTTTCCTATAACTGGACACATGCAAAAGTACACTAGTTTGAAATAACCAAATGTGACCAAATGCTTGTTACATTCAAAAATGGAAAGAGATTTGCCTGGCATGAAATGTACAAAGGTGGTTCCTGCTAGGAAAGTAGCTCAAAAGGAATTATGCAGTCACATGATCAGAAATCCTACTTCCCAGAGCCAGTGTACTAGATTTTACCCCACTCAGTGCTTGCGGTTGCTATGTAAAGACTATATAAGGTAATAGTTACATGACTAACATTAATTATTAACATTTTGGGCTTATCACTGATCAATATGAGAATAGAACCTACCAAGACTAACTGTGCATGATAAATGGAATATACAATACAAAGGTTAGCAAGCCATCATACTTACAGTTTAAGGAAAAGAGAAGAAAGTACTACTGAAACAGAGGAAGCAGCCATTGCAGCAGATCCCATCCAGGGCTGCAAAACCAAACCAATGGGCATAAAAACTCCTAGGAAACAAGTCTGGATTAGTTAGAGCAGATAGTACTGAACAGATTACCAATGTGTTTCCAATATGTACACAAAAATCATTTCCTTGTTTGATATTTATTCACCAATCCATCCTATTGGAGATTTATGACATTACCCATTTTTCACTGATAGAGTATTGCTCTGAACATTCTTTTACATGTCTGCCTGCGCATATGTTTGAGAATGTCTCTAGGGTACATACCTAGAGGTGAAACTGCTGGGTTATAACACAGGCACATCTTCAACTTTGTTTCTCAGTTGCTCTCCAAAGTGCCTGTACCAGATCACAATCCCACCAAAAGTGTAAAGGTTCGTGTTCTACAAATTTATCTACACTTGGTTTTGACAGACATTTTAATGTTTGCTCATATGACAGGGATGAGACAGACTTATTGGACTTGGACTTTTAATTTTTTTGTGTTCCTATCTGTATTTTTCTACTTTTTCTACAGTGATCATATGTTATTTGTGTAATTTTTTAAAAAATCACTTGTGCCATGAGTTAATCTCTCTGGACTTTGATTGTCCTTTTGCTCTTTGTCCTCTCAGCATTTGTGTGTCCTTGTTGATAAGCAACATACTAATTGCTCTCAGGTCATTTCATGTTTTTCTTTGGCTTTCAAACCATTAAGAGAACAAGAAGAAAGTGATAACTGTTTCTCTTATATTATTACTAACTCCTACCAATACCCAAAGTACAGGTGATTATCAGATGCTAATTAAACAACTCTAACTTGCTTTTTCTTGGTCATATTCCTTCATTCAAGTTCTTTCTTTCTCATCTGGTCCCCAAACTTAAAAAAAACAACTGCTGGGTAGTAGAATGTTAAGTGAAGAGCAGAAAATTCTTGTGCACTGTAGTTACAACTATGTAATAAAACAAAAACTATTACTAAAATGCTAACAGTAGTTGTGTTTGGGTAATGAAATTAAGGGTAAATTTGTTCTCTTAAACTAAAAGTAAATGAATAAGTAAAGAAATGTGTATGTGTGTGAGAGTACCTGGAGAAAGTGTAAGTAATATGGCAAAATATTATTAATTGGTGAAAGGAATACAGGTTTTCATTGTATCATTTTTTCCTTATGTAGGTTTGAAATTTTTCAAAATATGGGTAAAATAAAGTAAAATAAGATAAGCCTGTCAGAATGCTTACACATTCTAGGCTATAATGAATATTGCCGAAAATCAAAATTACTGATTTTAATATTACCTCTCATCACATCAGCAGGCTACATACAAAAACTGAACTCAAAACTAACTTACAATCTGATAGATCTCTAACAATTTCAGAGGAAAAAGTAATACTAGTTACCAGTCACATACCAGCAGCTATAGGAATTCCAACCAGATTATAAATTAGAGCAAAGACAAAATTTATCCGAATCCTTTTGACTGTCTTCCTTGATAAGTCAATACTTGCCACGACATCCAGAAGATCATTCTGAGAACAGAAATATTTTTTATATCAATGACTCTAACCTAACTAATAACTTTTATATTAGATACTGTGTATATTTAAGATTATGTGTACCTTAGGGTAATATATGAGTAAACTACAAATATCAGATATTGCTAAAAATTTGAGTCAGCCTAGGAAGATGTTTTTCAGGAATTTTTCTCTGGGATCTGAAAACACTTTTAGGGTTGTATGCTGCTATCGGAATTAAATCCCACTAAAATAACCTCAGCACTTATTTATTGAAGATAATTTTATTCTATTTTTCAATCTCATTCTTTCCTTTAGAAGTTTGTCATTCTCATTTGTTTTGCTGGATTGGGGAAATCTGGAAGTAGTTAAAAGACTTCTCATACTGCCAAAATAAGCTGGGCAGGAAAGACAAGTATCAAATTATTGCACTCACTTATAGAGTATAGCAACGAAGCAAAACTGAAGGAACAAAACAGCAGCAGGCTCACAGACTCCAAGAAGGGACTAATGATTACCAAAGGGAAAGGGGTGGGGAGGGTGAGTGGAGAGGGAGGGAGAAGGGGATTGAGGGGCATTATGATTAGCACACATAATGTAGATGGGTCACAGAGAAGGCAGTATAGCACAGAGAAGACAAGCAATGACTCTATAGCATCTTACTATGCTGATGGACAGTGGCTGCAATGGGGTATGTTGAGGGGGACTTGATAATATGGGTGAATGCAGTAACCACAATGTTGCTCATGTGAAACCTTCATAAGAATGTATATCAATGATTTGTTAATTAAAAAATCAAACCACTCTGATGTACACCTGAAAGTAAAAAAAAAGAAGACTTTCTGTACTGACATCTTGAATTCCCCCACTCTCAACGGCTGGGAGCATGGGAATTAGGACAGAATCGTGCTCGATATACTTCACAACACTATTCCTGACCATGTAGAGCAGTCTCATACCTCTCAAAGTTCAGGCCATAAGACTTACCCTTATCAAAACCACATCAGCTGCTTCAATGGCTACATCTGTGCCTGTACCAATGGCAATCCCCACATTAGCCATGGCCAGGGCTGGGGAATCATTGATTCCATCTCCCACCATTGCTACCTGTTTCCCCTCCTCTTGAAGTTGCTTCATCTTAGCAACCTTGTGGGAAGGTAGAACTTCAGCAAACACCTTATTAATGCCAACCTACGTGAGGAAAGATGAATTCAATTCATTTCAAGAAATATCATTGGTCTCTGAAATATGAATCAGCAATTACAAACCATCATTTTTCCATCCACCAGTTGTCTAAATTTAAAAAACTGGTAATATCCAGTGATAGTAAGGATATGGAGAAATGAGCTCTCTTATGCACTGTTGGTAGGTCTGTAAACAGGTACTACCTTTTTGGAGGACGTTTGGCAGCATCTGTCAAGGTGCACACATCATTTAGTTTAGCAATTCCCCTTCTAATTGTATGTTGTACATACTTGTATATGTGCAAAAAGATGTATATCTAAGGTTGTACATTACTGCCCTGTGACAACAAAATTTTCAAAACCACCTAAATGCCCATCATTAAAGGAACAGTTAAATTATGACACATTAATTATGATCATACATACCATGGAGTTCCATGCAGTAATGTAGAAAGAATGAAATAACTCTGTATTTCCAAACACAGACAAAACTCCAAGGCTTATATTTTTTCATGTTAAAAAAGCAAACTACTGACAAATCTGTACAAAAATGACCCAGTGTGTGTTCAAAATACCAGCACTGTACATTTGTATATGAACATATATGCATATGAAAAAGTGTGTGTGTGGGGGGTAAGACCTGACAGGGAGTTTGGGAAAAGGGTGCCAACTTTTTACTTTATATCCTTCTGTATATTTTCATAGAAGAATGTATTCCTGTATTACTTATGTTACTTAATAGAAGAGGGCAGAAGGTGTTCCAAAGTAGAAAAGGGAAGAGTTTTGGAGATAAAATATATGTGGGGGTCATTAGCAGAAAAAAAGATGTCAAAATGGTGTAGGAAGGTGGTTCCATCAGTGGCATTCAGGATGGAATAGACAGGGAAGTGCATGGAGCTATTGCTGTATTTTGGACATGAAAGAATAAGATCCAGTGTTTAGGCTGGCAGCACTAGTGAAAAATATGAGGAATGTTTAAAAAGAAGCATCAACGGAAACTGTTGCATGATGTCACTCAAGCATCTCATGAACTAAGCAAATAGCTTTTTACTTATAATAGCAACACACAAAGCCCAAAGCCCTTCCCACAGAGCATGTCAATTCTTTTTTAAGGCACCGGATATGGCTACTCAGTGATAGTGAAAATAATAGGTAATATGAATTTTTCAGCATCTGAAAGCAAGAAAGAAAATATGTATGAAGAATTAGAAGTTACCACATACCCCCTACCCCAACAACTAAGCAAACCAATTACCTGAGAAGCAATAGATCTAGCTGTTTTACTGTTGTCTCCAGTCATCAGAACTACTTCTAAGCCCATAGATTTCAGAATATGGACAGCCAATTCTGCTTCAGGCTTCACTGTATCAGCAATAGCTATCAAGCCACACAGCTCATCTAATATAGGATCACCAGAAAATACGAGAGTTTGGAATATGGTGAAAGCAGAATAATATTCTGACTTAAAATTTCAGAAAGAAATGAATTTTGTTAAGTTGTTAGGGCTTGCTTAACTCAGATTTTTTCCATGCTCACAGAGACAGACATTATACCACAAGTCCTGCAACAAACCTCCATATTTGGCTGTGCACATTTCACAGAGTGAGGGAGGGGTTACTAACGAAGGTAGTAATAGGAAAATAAAAAAAGACTGGGCACTAATACACTCTTTTTCTTTCCTTACAGAAGTATTGGCCAACTACCCCAACCACTTTAGCTCATTTAAAGGCAAACAAAACTGAACATTAGTACTTTTTTTTCTTTCTAAGGTGAGGGGGGTGGATGGAGACAAACTGGCATTTTATAGTGGGGGAAAAAAATCACTGCAAGTAGTTACTGCATTTTAAAAACAAAAATGAATGGTATTTTCTGTTCCTTCCTGGACTTAAAAAGGCTCTAGTAAGATACTGCCTAGCAAGGATTATAAATGTTAACTAATTAATCTCACAGCTAGAAATCTACCCTAAGAAATAATTTAACAAAAGAAAGCACCTAAAACCTCCAAGATGTTTATTGTACTGTTATTTATAAGAATCAAATATTAGGAATACCTTAAATTTCCAACAGGGGAATGATTAAGTTAATTACAGTAAGTTTGATAAATGATGCAGCATTAAAACTGGAGAATATTATTAAATAAAATAAAGCAAAATAAAATAGTATACATATGAGGGACTTTAAATTTTATTCAACTTTATTGAGGTAAAATTTACACACAATAAAACACACCCATTTAAAAATAGTATGCATAGTAATATTGTAATTCTGCATATATATTCTGTGTATGTATATGTATATATATACATATACATACACATATGCATATACATACATACACATATATATATGCCCCATAAGCCCAGTATTAGGATGATGAAATTACAGAAGTTGTTTTACTTTGCTATTAATTTTTATTACCTAATTTAAAAAAATACTTTATTAGCTTAAAAGAAAAAAACATAGGCTAGGGAGGAAAATAACAAAGCCAGGCAAATGCAAGATAATTTAAAATTAATCAGTAATAACTACGTATTGCCAACATTTTCACTTTGCATTCAGGCTGCTTTTGAATAGCCCTAATGCTTGTCTCTCAAAACTACACATAAAACTGTAACTGGGATCATGACACTGAGTTACAGTGTTCTTACAAAAAACCTTACCATCAACTGCCACCAATACAGCAGTCCGACCTTTTCTCTCGTGTTCAGTCATGGAATCATCTACAATGTTACTAATGACAAGACCATTTCTAATCATCCACTCCCGGTTACCAATGAGGACTTTGTACTGTTGAGCATTAAGAGCATCTGAAAGCAAAGCAAGTACAGAAATAACATTTAGTGAGCTCCTTTAATACTTACAACAACCCCATGAAGTATGTTCTTCTGTCCAACCTTGCACAGTAACAACATTGTATTTTTGACAGAACACAGGCTACAACAACCATTTCCAAATTTTCAAGGGACATACTTTGCTCTTCCATGCCTCTGGGCCATATGTTGCTGCTTCCACCTGAAATGTCCTTACCCTCCCTTCCAAATACCAACCTCTATCATGTTCTTCAAGAGTCAGTTCAAACGTTAAACTTTTCTTGTTGAAGCTTTCCCTTTGAACTTCCATAGCAATTGAATTAAATTCAAAACATTTCTTATGCATTAGAAGCTGAATGTGGTTCGATGAAAAGATACAACCATACTGATGTCTCATTTTAAACATCTGACCACTAACTTTAAGCAGGCCCTCAGTGCTGTGTGGCAGTTCTACTAAATTTCCCTATCCATTCATTCTCCATTCCTTTTAGATGGCTATTTTATACCTTCTCTTCTCCCATTCTCATACCAAACAATAACTCTGCTTCTTTCTTCAGGAAGAAAATAAAAGCAAATCAGAGAGAACTTCCACAATCTACTCAACTACCTGTGTCTACGTACAAATTAATCTAGCTTCCCCTCTGTTATCATAAACTGCCCCTGCTCCTATTTAAAGCCAACCTCTCCACTGGCACACTTGATCCTCCTCCTTTGCTTATTTTATAATATCTTTCCAACAATTCTCTCCTCTCCTGAATAATCAATTTTTTATCTCTGCATTACATAAAAAAACCTCTCTTGATCCCACTTACCTCTTGAGCTATAGCCCAATTCTTCTTTTTCTATACATAGCAAAACTTCTTAAAAGTGTTATCTCTATGGGCTGTTTCCAATTTATCTTTTCCTGTTCTCCTGTGACCCCATGTCAATAAATCTTTGATCTCTACTACTTCAAAAAATTGTTCTATAGTACACCAGTTACCTTTACTTTAATAAACCTAATAGCTAATTATCAGCCCTCACCTTACCTGCTCTGTTAGCAGCATTTAACACAGTTGATCACTACCCCCTTCTTGAAACGCTTTCTTTGCTTGGCTTGTAGGACACCACATTTTTATGAGTCACCTCCTCACTCACCACTTCTCAGCCTTCTTTGGTGATCCTTCCTCATTTCCCTGATCTCTTACCTTGTAGTTATACAGGGCTCAATCCTTAAACCTTTTTTCCCGCTTCTATCTACTCTCACCCCTTGGTGGTCTTATCTAGTCTCATGTCTTTAAATATCATCAATACAAGGTCTGTCCAGTAGAAACTTCCATGATGACAGAAATGTTCTGTATCTGCTCTGTTCAATACAGTAGCCACTAACATGTGGATATTGAGCACTGAATTGTGGCTAGATGGTTCAATGGATAAATTTTAAGTTAAATTAATTTTTAATTCATTTAAATTTTAATAGTCACATGTAACTAATGACTGCCGTATCAAATAGCAAAGATCTATAACTGGATGACTCCCAAATATCTCTCTCCAACATAGTTGTTTCCTTGAACTCCAGACTTGTGCAGCCAACTGCCTGCTTGATATTTCCATTTATATGACATCTTCACTTGAATATCTAATAGGCACTCAAATTTAACATGTCAAAAACTAAACTCCTAATCAGTGTTCCTCAGTAATGCCCTTCCTGTGGTCTTCTCCATCTTACTTAAGTGGTAAATCCATCCTTATAAATTGCTTAGGCCACAAATCTTAGTATAATTCTTGACTCCTGTTTCTCTCATACCCCATATCTTATCTGTGAGAAACACCTGTCAGCCAGCTCTCCATTCAAGATACATTCAGAACTTGACCATGTCTCATGACCTCTGTTATCACGACACTGATCCAAACCAGCATTATCTTTCACCTGGATTATGGCAATAGCCTACTAACTCATCTCCCTGCTTCTTCCCTTGCCCTCATCTCCCCTCAACAGTGTATTTTTACCAGAGCAGCCAGAGTTAAGTCAGCTTCTGTCACTGTTATACACAAAACTCTCCAATGGCTTCCTATCTGAGTAGAAAAACCAAGTCCTTTCACTGTCCTTACACCATCTAGTCCTACACTACCTCACAAACCCTGTCTCTTACCACTCTTTTACTCTGCTCTAGACATATTGTTGTCCTTGATGTTCCTCAAACTAGTCAAGCACACTCCTGACTCGAGGCTTCTGTATTTAACAGTCCTCTTGCAGATATTCAGTTTTGTCCTTTTCCCTCCTCAGGTTTTTGCTCAAGCACTACCCTCAATGAGGCCTACTCTGATCATCCTATATACAATAGGACCCACTATTCCCAGCATTCTCTGTACCCTTTACTCTTTTTTATTGTCCTCCATAGCACTATCTCCATCAGACATACTATATTTTCTTATTTATTTGCTATCTTGTGTTCTTCCACCAGGAATGTAAGCTCCATGAGATAGGGACTTTCTATTCTGCTCACTGCTGATTCTTTAGTGCCTCAATCCATGCTTAATAAAAGCTGTCAAATGAACAAAATTATTATTTGTCAGTGGGCTTGATACTAGCAGTTCACAGACAAATAATAAAGAGATCACAGTTCAGTAGAATCAGGAAGATTAATAAAGAATAACCATGCAGTTTGCCTAGTACAATAAGAGAGATTAAGTAAAGTTATGATTTTTAAAAAAGAGCAACTATCTCTGCCTATTTATGTCAGTCAATGAAGGCTTCACTGAAAAAAGAATTTCATGAGATAGATGCCACTGAATAACATTATGCAGAGCAAACAGTAAATAAAGTGACCTAATAAGCATGAAATGACACAATAGAAGTAGAAAATGCAAGTAGTGCTATATGAACAGAACACAGAGTATATGGGGGGAGGGGCAGTGGAAAAAGAGAAGATGGATGGTGCAGGGAGGCAGGAGATACATCATGGAGCACAGATTTTGAACAAAGTCCAGAGACACTAGACTTTGTCCTGCTGGAGAAAGCAAGCCAGTAAAGCCAGGATCCTTTGCAGAATTCCATGGATGGGCTTTAGGATATATGCAAACCTCTGAAATAGAAATTTTCTGAGGGATGGGCATAGTTTTCATCACATTACTCCAAAGGTTTGTGATTCAAAAATGGGTTATACATATCTGTAGTAAAAGGTATTAGTCAGAAAGTGATATAATCAGATTTGCATGTTAGCAAAATCATTTGAGCACAAATGGGTGGGGAGGTGCTGAACACTTAGGTGGGCATATAATGTTTCAGGGCAGATGGATAGACCAACAAGAAACTCAGGAAACGAGCCTTGGCTAGAGATATGGATTTTGGAGATGTAGTGGAAGTCTATGGGTGGTAAAACAAATGATAGGCGTAAGTGAGATTGCACAGAGAGTGTATATAAACTGAATAAAAGACATAGAACAAAACCTAAGGACACCCAACATTTGACAGCAGGATAAAAGAGGAATCAGAAGATTAGAAGGAACAGCCAAGTAGGTGAGAGGAGAATCTAGAGAAAGCACAGTCATGGAATCAAGAGGGAAAAGAGTTTTAGGAAGGAAGAAAAGGCTGACATTTTCAAGTATCTTAGTGAGGTTATGCAGGATTAAGACTGAGAAGTGACCACTGGAAAAGATACTGAATAAGGTCATCAGTGGGTTTAGAAAAAATAATTTCAGTAGTAATGGATGGAGCAGAAGGCAGACTGTGCAGTGAATGAGTGAATTCACCAAGCCTAGATTACCTTTTCTAGAAACTTGGATATAAAGGAAAAGAAAGACAGGACAAAAATCTTGATGGGAATACAGATGATTTTGATGGAAGAAATATTTATATGTTTAGGAGAAGAAGTTCCTACATACAGAGAAGCAAGGGGATATAACAGAGTGAGGTCCCTGAGGAATCAAGAGAGAGTGGGATCTACAGCAAAGATGAAGGGATTCATTAGGCAAGGTGGGGCATACCTCTTCCTTTGAAAAAGGAATTAGTCTGGGCAAAAAAAATGGAAAGAACACATAAGATAACCTTATTTTTCTATGTGAAAAGTAAGCCAGATAATTTGCTTAGGGAACTAGGGGGGAGACCACAGTACCTTGTGAAGGATATAAAAGGCTTATAGTAGCTGTGGTGAGAAACAAAAGATAGCTTAACTAAGGTAGAAGATCAATAAGGCAAGACTTCATCACCCTACAGAGGAATCATGGAGTACAGTTGGAAAATGTGTACAAGTAATTTGAGAGAAATGATCAGAAGGCCTATGGTAAAACTGATTTGAGAGAATGACACCACGATGCTAAATTTTGTTTTTATTTAGTATAACAGTTCAGGACTATGAAATTAGGTATCTTTAAATAACTATCTCATAATTGATACTACAAAGAAAATTAGCTTACTTGAGAGCTGGGCATCAATAATCATGGAAGACGAAGTTGATGACTGTTCATTACTTGTATCAATTTGAACCAGGGATGCATTTTTACTATTATTTTCCTCTATCTTCCAATTATTCTTATGTAGCAAGCCTTCAATATTGGTGACTTTACAGCTAATACCACATCCTGGAACAACCTGGAAATCTATGCAGGTACCCAAGGTTTCAGTGTCCAGCTCCTAACAGATAGAAACAGAATTTCCTTTGCTGTTCTAATAATCCAAAGTTATCATTAGCAAGATCAAATATTACTGCTGGTTAATTCTAAGTGTTTAGACACATGCTACATGCTTGGTTAATTCTAAATGTTTAGAATAAAACTCACTTTTTATTGCCTATATGACTGGATTTTGATAAGAATGAAGAAACATTATATTGTTCAAAGTTACAGGAGAACCTCAGAATCCTTTGTTTTAATCCCACTCTCTAAAATTTATACATGGAAAGCATGGAAGTTTTATCAATATTCTCTGCTCTTTCCAGTAGAGAATTACAAGTTAACTATTTAATTCTATGGTCAAGTCAGATTTTCTATTCAGCACAGGGCCAAGGGTAACAAAGAACAGGGCCTTTAGTTACCAGAGTGCCTCTCTAGTATGATTCTGTGCCCTTAGTAAGCCAAAGAATTCTGGTGGCCATCATTGTTTCTGGTTCTTTGTATCTTCATCTTCTCTGTTGTTCGATTTGGGTGTTAAGAAGTCAGGGTCAGTAACAGTTAATAGGTAAAAAGGAAAGAACAAATAAATGGCAACACCAATGGTAGAAAATTGCCACAATTTAACTCTAAAATTATGTGAGATAATTTACAAAGAATTTATACAAATCAATGAGAAAAAGGTAAATAATCTTATGGGAAAAAAGCAGGCAAAGGATACAAAAAGACAGGTTACAGAAAAACAAATTCAAATTGTCAATACACATATGAAAAGATGCCCAACCTTATTCATAATTAAGAAAATGCAAAGCAAACCATCAACGAGTAAATATTTTTTTACTTATTAAATTGGAAAAAATAAAGTGTCAGTAAGAATGTGGGGAAATGGGTACTTACAACTTGGTGAAAATATAAATTGTTACAACCCTTTATACGAATGTTGGTAATATTTGTCATGTGAGCATTGGTAATGATCAAAATTTAGCTGCATGTATGTTTTGATCTAGCAATTGCTTCAATAGGCATTTATCATAAAAATACACTTGCAAAAGCTGATGAGGATGTTAACTGTACAACCAATCACAAAACAGAATACAATCTAGCCATTAAAAACAATAAGGCACTATGTTTTCTACCTTTATCTTGCATCTACCTACCACTTCAGCATTTTATTAAAAAATAAATAAATAAATAATAATAATAAGGGAGAAATGTGGGATTCACATATAAATCAAGTATAAAAATCAAACGAATATTCATATTTGACCTGATTGTTTATAGTTCATAATGTGTGATCAAAACTGAAAGTTTCTGTGATGACTGCCCTTGCACTGTTCACCATGTAAGAATTTGTTCACCATGTAAGAACTTGTTCGTTATGCTTCAGAAGATTGGAGGCTGTTGAGAATTAGGCTTGGGGTTGATTACTGATTGTGCATTGAGTCCCCTATACAGAATTTTATTGCTGTTAACAACCATTTGATCAATAAATATGAGAGATGCCCTCTCAAACAAAAAAAAAAAGAGAAGAGGGAAATTGGAGTCAGCAAAGCAACATACTATAGATAACCATATGTGACACAAAGTCCTCACTGAACATATTTGGAACTAAAATAGCTTATTAGGCAGTGGGATCATCAGTTTGGCTGTTAATGTTTGGAATCTAACCAACTACAAAGCAAGTCAAATGATCAGACCAAGTACTTATTAAATAAAATTTGCTTTTATCCATTTAAAAAAATAAACACATAAAAATAAAAATAAAAATAAAAACAATAAGGCAGATCTATATGTCCTAACATGGGAAAAACATTTAATAAAAATTTTTTAAAAGGTATAAAGATTGTTCACTGTGTGACCTTTCTATGTGGTTTAAAAAATAATAAAGGTGTACATGTTGTGATATGCATTAAAAATGAATAAACAGATGTACACTTTTGAGAATATACTAAAAATTATTGAATTGTACATTTCACAAGGGTGAACTTTATAGTACACAAATTGTATCTCAATAAAGCAGTTACAGTAGTCTCCCTAATCCTAAATTTTGCTTTCTGCAGTTTTAGTTAGCCGTGATCTACTGCAGTCGGGAGGCAGATGACCCTCCTTCTGATGTACTGTCAACAGGTCAATAGTAGCCTAACACTACATGACAATACACACTTCATTCACCTCACTTCATTCCATCACACTGGCATTTTATCATCTCACATCATCACAAAAAGAAGAATGAGTACAGTACAATGAGTGACTTTGACAGAGAAAGAAACCAACCATATTCACATAACTTTTATTACAGTGTACTGTTATAATTCTATTTTATTATTGGTGATTGTTGATAATCTTACTGTCTGATTTCTAAATTATAGTTAATCATAGGTATATATTTATGTATGTATGTATGTACATATGGTAAAAAAACATACTATAGAGAGAGTTTGGTACTATCCGCAGTCTCAGGCATCCCCTGGGGTTCTTGGAATGTATCTCCTGCAGATAAGGAGAGACTACTGTATTTAAAAAGACTGCTAGCAGGTTAACACTTGTTAAACTTTGGAGAGAGGACTTATGGGAGGGCACAAGGAAAAAGGCTTTCCTTTTTCATTCCATAACTCTCTGAACTACATGAATATTCCTACTAAAAATATGTAATACCTCTATTTTAACTTTTTGGTCAACTGGAGGTATCTGTGTCTTAAGATTATAGTTAATTTCTGTTCTCATTTTTATACATGTCTCTATTAAGAAACTAAGACATATTATAAAACAAAATGAGAAATACAAGTTTCTCTAGCCTCATATCAACCATGTACATAAATCAAAGTCAAGTGCCAGTTTGGATTTGGTCTGGAGGTATCTGTGTCTTAAGATTACAGTTAATTTCTGTTTTCATTTTTATACATGTCTCCATTAAGAAACTAAGACATATTATAAAACAAAATGAGAAATACAAGTTTCTCTAGCCTCATTATCAACCATGTACATAAATCAAAGTCAAGTGCCAGTTTAGATTTAGTCTGGGTAATTCCTATAGGAGAGGAATACATTAATAAACAAGAGGAGAAAATTGTACCTGCTTGCAGTATTTGGTTATGGCTGCTCCCAGAGGGTGTTCACTGTTACTTTCAGCAGTTCCCACAATGGCCAGGATCTTACTGTGTGATATTCTGTTACCTTCCACCAGAACCTTTACTTGATTCACTACTGGGGTTCCATGGGTGATGGTTCCAGTCTTATCAAATACCACTACCTTTACCTGTAAGAATAGGAAAATATAGTGTACCTATATGACTTGATAATCCTTAGTATCACCTGTCCAGAAATATGAATAAGGTTTAACAGATTACTATTTTGCTTCTTAATAAACTGACCTTTGACTTAATTGGACCTAATAAACTGACTCTTGGAAGTGACAGTAGGGAAGAAATACTTAGATATACCTAATAGCCCTCCCTTACAAATGTTCAGCCATATTGTGGACGTATGTTAAACAACTAGAACTTATTGTTTAGGGCTGACTGTTAATAGGTGATAAAGAGGTGCCTCTAGTGCCTCCAGAGAAAGAGATAGGCTTTCAATACTAATGAATTACAGATCTATAGGGGAAATCTGGGCAGTAGGCATATGATTATAAGAGAAACATAAGTGATTAAGTTGAAGTGAGCCCCAGATAAGACCTGCCGGGTTGCTTTGAGTTTATGGGTCAGATGAAAATCTTGGCCTTATAAGAGGCAGCCCAGGGAACCAATGAGGGAAACTCAGCCAAGCCAGGGAAAAGGAATTAGAGAACACAGTAACCTCATAGTAAACTTGGAATACAAATCTTGGAAAATGAATAGCTTTAGGGACCAAGATGAAAAGAGACAGGACAACTAAATATATAAAGCATGATTCTGCACAAGAGTAAAAAAATCTATAAAGGCTCACACCCCCTGTTTTGAGAGAAATCTTCTGCATCCGTGGATGTTTTGTTGCCCTTGTCTAGCTTTGATTAATACTTAGTCTATAGGCACAGACCTGATCATCCACATTTGCCCTCTTAGAGCACTAAATTATGTTTTCTACCTTTATCTTGCATCTACCTACCACTTCAGCATTTTATTTAAAAAAAAATAAGGGAGAAATGTGGGACCCACATATAAATCAAGTATAAAAATCAAATGAATAATCATATCTGACTTGTTTATAGTTCATGATGCGTGATCAAAACCGAAAGTTTCTGTGATATGACTGTCCTTGCACTGTTCACCATGTAAGAACTTATTCACTATGTAAGAACTTGTTCACCATGTAAGAACTTGTTCGTTATGCTTCAGAAGATTGGAGGCTGTTGAGAATTAGGCTTGGGGTTGATTAATGATTGTGCATTGAGTCCCCTATACAGAATTTTATTGTTGTCAACAACCATTTGATCAATAAATATGAGAGATGCCCTCTCAAAAAAAAAGTCTCATTTAAAGTATAATATTAAAGGTTTACTTTCCAAAGCTAAAAAAATCTATAAAGGATATTATACATATTGGAGACAACTGGGGAAACTGTAATATACACTACAGATTAGATAATAGTATTATTCAACATCAATTTCTTGGTTTTGACCTTTGCACTGTGGCCATACAAGAGAATGTCCTTGTTCTTAGGAAAGGAACCTGAGAGCTGTAGTAAGGGTATTCAGGAGTTCTATATACCATTCTTGCATCTTTTAAGACTGAAATTCTTTCAAAGTGAGAAATTACTATAAAAATGAATAGCTTATATTCACTGGCTAGATGAGGTTCCAAATCTGTGCTAAGCTATATTCTGTGTTTGCTACATGCATCTGTATATAGTTTACATCTTCATAATAGGACATAAAGGAACATGGTTTTAGTTGAAGTCAAGAAACCGTGATTGACATGTCACTGAAATCCTAATATGAGAGAGATCAGAGATAGGATTATATTCCTGAAGTCATAGGCTGTGAACTGTCAGCTGGTGGCAGCAAAGGTGAAGGAACTGCAACCTAACTGCCAGAGGCACTGTCTCTGGGTGATGCATACAAACATGGAGTCATGAACATATAAATTAGAAGCCTGAAAGACTTGGGCAAATTTTCTGTGGCAAATACTATTGTCTTCCTGCCCTCAAGACTGGTCCAGTCTGAGCCGTTGCTCCACATCAGGGTCTGCTCTAACAGAGTAAGCCTAGAGCACTTTTAGAGATCTTAGATAACGAAGGCCAATGCAGAGCTGAACAAAAATAACACCTTTCCTATCTCAACCCTCAAGATAATCCCAGAAGAGGCTCATTTTATAGACCACCTGGAAATAATTTAGGACTCTGTGTTTCTCAAGAGAGGTGCTTCTGCCAGTTTGGATGTGACAATTCTTAGTTCTAGGGACTATCTTACCTTATGAGCCATCTCCAGTGGCTCACCACCTTTGATTAGTATGCCATTTTGAGCACCTACTCCTGTACCCACCATCACAGCAGTTGGAGTGGCCAGTCCCAGGGAACAAGGGCATGCGATGCACAGAACTGTGATAGAGGCTTGGAAGGCAAAGCGTATTACCGTTTCCGTTTGAGAGATACTTCGGTTGTAGCCCTTTAGAGGAAAGGTATGAATTTTGGTTATTGATTTAGAGCTGTATAAAACAAAATGTACGAAGCTTAACCCTATAAAACCATAATTAAGAAGTCACATAATCCTACTTAGCTATCAACATATACATTTTAGTGGCTAGTAATAAAATACGTTTTTTCTTTTACGAATATAAGAAACTGATATAACTCATAAAGAAGTCCCAGTCTTAAAATTAAGATTTCAATTTTGCTGATTCTAGAGTTACAAACTATGCAGTGAACATTATAAGGAACACAAAAGTCAGCTTTTTTTGCTCCATATTTAGAGTAAGTGTTTTTATTAGAGACTTTCAAATTATCTGGAATCCTTCAGTCCAACTGTTCTGGTGCTTGAGGTACCCGCAAACACTCCATTCCCTTCACGGGCAGCTCAGCCCCAAGGTACTTCCTGCATAGGACCTGCCTGCCTGCCACTCACAATGGGCACGGCAGCTCCAGACTTTGCTGCCTGGCAGGCAGAAGGAAGCTTGCCTAACTTTCTTGGCCCTCTCTCAGCCCAACTGGGGTGGTGCCTGCTGGAGAGAGCTCCTTCCTCCTGGCTAGCAGCCCAGCCCCAGGCCAGCACCCTTGTGTACCTGCCCCACCCACCCAGTCGGCCCAGCAGCACCACCCTTGCTGCCTGAAGGCAGCACGCAGCCCTGCCCACAACAATCCCAGCACAGGTACCATTGCTGGCTCACAAAGGGCCAGGTGAGGCAAGCTGCCAGCCATGTGGACTGAGATCAGCCACTGCCAGCAGACAGGAAGAAAGGCGGCCAAACCCACTGCCCACTCACAGCAACTGGAACTCCACTGTAAAGGAGAACCAGGTACTCGTGAGTAAAAGTCTTGAGCTTCTGGGCACCACAGGACTCCTACTTCATAAAGCCACTACTCTCTAGACCAGGAAGCATAGCAGAGCCATCTAATACAAAGGAAAAAACACAGAAATCCAGTCAAAATGAAGAGACCTTGTTATTAAGTTTTGGCTGTGGGTTTGTCATACATGGCCTTTATTATGTTGAGGCCTACTATATCATCTTATTTAACTTTCACAATAATTGCAAGTTATTCAGATGGGTATTATCAAATTCTCACTTTACAGATGAGAAAACTGAAACTCAGAAACAAATTAATTTGATCTAGACCACACTGATGCTAGGTGGCAGAGCTGAGATCCTGAGGTTTTCCTCATCAGATCTGTAGTCCTTTGTGAAAGCAATACCATGCTGGGAATGAAATTAAATATAAAATATAAAAGTTCACTATTTGCTTTTGGAACACCTTCCAAGACATAACAAAAAAATCTTTCCAAAAGGAAATCTTTTATATTTACAAAACTGCAAATGTTACTCTTTTATCACCCTCCTACTCCAGTCCCTTAAAGACAACAGTAATTGTTAAAGAGTTATTTTCCAATTAATTATTTATGCAAAAGATTCACAAACTGTTTTCCATATGGTAAAAAGAGTTGTTAGAAATCACTTACAGGAAAGTAGGTTTCCACAATTTCAAAATTCAGAAATCCAATTATAATCCAAACCAAGAGGGTAACAATGGAAATAATAACAATAAATGGAACAAAGTAGCCACTGAGTTTGTCTGCAAACTGCTGAATAGGAGCCTAGAATTAAAAAATAATAGTAATAATACAAATATCAAAGTCTCCTTTTTTGATAGTGAATACAGAGTATGTTTGTTACTAAGCACAGATAGATTTTAATAAACTCCATTTAATGCAACTAGAATGAATCAAATGAAAACAGAAAAACTAGATCAAAATTTATACTAAGCAGGTTTTAAAGAAAATGCTTTGTTTCTTCTAGGGAGTTAAGTTACCTTTGATGTTTGTGCCTCTTCTACAAGTTTGACAATTTGAGAGAGGGTTGTATCTGCTCCAACATGGGTTGCGCGAATAAGAAGGGACCCATTCTGGTTAATGGAACCAGCAATCACTGTGCTACCAGATTTCTTAGCCACAGGCATTGCCTCCCCTACATGAGGAGTAAAGATAGATTTAGGGAGCATAAATAAACACCATCTTGAAATATACCGCTATTTGTTCATTGTCAAAAAATATCTACAAAGGAGATACTTACTTCATGAAACAATCTGGACAAATGCCTAGGTAAAATTTGCCCTCTCTTTTTCCTTATGTCAGTTCTGGGCCAAACTCAAGGATACATATCTTAAACTGGAAAAACCTAGTATGTTAGCTCTTGTGCCCAGATACTTTTAAAAGCTCTACCCTAGTCTTTGATAACTGGTTCTCAACCTCTTCTCAAGGAGCATTTAGAAATGTGGCAGGGAGTTCCTGTTTGCAGTAACTACTGGTGGGGCATGGCGTACTGCTACTCCCCTTTCTTTGTGTGCCAGGGTCAGGGATACTAAACATACCACAATGTGTAAGACAGTCCCTCAGAACTAAGAACTGCCCCATCTGTACTGGCAAAAGCACCCCTACTGAGAAACATATATTTTCCACATGGTCCATAAACTGAGCCTCTTCTATGATTATCCTGAGGGTTGAGGTAGGAAAGGTGCTATTTTGGTTCTGCTCAGGATTGGCCTTCGTTCTCTAAGACCGCTAAAACTACTCCAGGCCGACTCTCTTAGAGAAGACCCTATGTGGAAAACCTGGAGTCCTGTTCCAATTCAGATCAGACTAGTCTTTAGGGCAGGAAGACAAACTTCGGCATTTGCTCAGGAAAAATTCCCAAAGTCTACTGGGCTCTACAGCAGAATGAGACAACTTCGTTTGATTATACACTCTAGTAATTAACAATTCTCAGTGAGAAGAGCCTTCAGAAGCATAACTAAAACCACAGTAAATCTGTGGAAGTTTATTTAATACAGTCCTAAAAACTCATATTCTCTTTGCTCTCTATTTACTTATTCCATAGTTTCTACAATAAGCTCTTCACCTTTCATGCCTATTTTTCATTAACACTTTTGATTGACTTCATTTTCATGTCGTGATCCTCTGAAAGAACATACCTGTGATGAGGGACTCATCTACCATAGAATGTCCCTCAATAACACGACCATCCACTGGAAATTTGCCTCCTGGAACCACTTTAATGATGTCTCCACGTTGTACAAGTTCCACATCCACTTGTTCTTCACTGGATAAGAGATACAATAAAAGGCATCATGACAAATATGCTTCTCACCCTTATCTTGCCATGCAAGCTTTTTAGCTGTTATGGCACTTATGGCTCCATAATTGCTACCAATGGAAGCTAGAAGAACATTTAAGCTACAATAGAACTACAATGTCAGTCCTATTCACTACTGGAGAGCAGTTCAGTACCTGGCACAAAGTAGGCACTCTAAATATTGCTGAATAGTCATTGAATGAATAAATGAAAGTTTTAGAAAATAACGTAATGGGCTTTTGTTAACTAACCAATTTATTTATTGTGTAAATTAGCTAAATAATTTTATGAGTATACAAATGAGAAATACAAAAGAATGAAATCTAATCACATCTTTAGCTCTAATTTCCAGTTTACAGATAATACAGGAGTTTTAGAACAAGTTAAATGACCCCACAAAGATATAAAGAGACAAATCCAGACTGCAGGATATTCTAGGGGGCAGCTGATGGCTGCTCCTTTAATAGGTCAATTGTATGGACAGGGAGGATGGGTGGATAGGGAGGAGGAGAGAAGAAGGAGGGAGGGAGAGCAGGAGGGTGGAGCTGTTCTAGATTAAAAGAAACATGTCAGTCAAATGCAATGACACATGGACCTTGCTTGAATCCATTTCAAAGAAACTTAAAACACTTTGGAGACAACAGGAGAAATGTGAATATGGACTACGTATTAGATGATATTAAGAACTATTGTTCATTTTGTTAGATGCAATGTGGTTATTACAGTTATATAAGAGTATACTCTTTTTTTAGAGATACTACAGGAATATTTAGCAGTAAAACAACACAACTGGTTATTTACTTTAAAATACTACTGCAACAACAGAAATAAAAATTACAGGTGAAGTATGGCAAAATGTGCATAACTGTTAAATCTGGGAGAAAGATTATGTGGGTTCATTATATTCTTCCCTCAATTTCTGTGTATGTTTGATATCTCCCATAAGAAGTTAACAAAGAGAAGGGGAAAGAATGAAAATAAATACCTCAAGAGGATATTATCAGAGTCAAGAGTTACAATAGTTGCTTCCGTAGCTTGTAGTGAAATTAGCTTGGCAAGAGCTTCTGATGTTTTGCCCTATAAATTAAAACAAACATGTTAACAATGCTAAGAAAAAGCTCAGGTCTTACCTAAAGTAAAGATATGATCTTTAATATTTACCTAGAAGACAGCCTTAAGAATATTAATTGGTTCAAATCAGAAAATGTTTCACTTCAAAAATATGATATACACAAAATACAAAATGTATTAGATGTAACTTATAAATAATGTACATTAATAAGAAAAACATCAAGATCTCAATAGGTACCTGGGTAAAGAACAAGAACAGGCAATTCATTTAAGAAGAAACAGAATACCCAGTATGTGGGAAAACGTTTATATCTACTATAATGTCAGAAATATAAACTCAAGCAACTCTATGATACCATTTAATGCCTAGTAACTTACCAAACATTTAGATAGGAGTCAATTCTCATGAAGTTATAATAAAACCACTTCACTAACATACTCTTGCTGGCAAAAACTGTTCTAACTTGCAGCATGAGCCATAGAAAGATTTATGCCCCTGAATCATATCTGTAGTAATTTATCCTGATATTAATTCAATAGGAATTACTATTACATATGAATATGTTTAATGCAGGATGATCTAAAATGAAAAACTGGAAATAATGTAATTGAGAAAAAAACCAGAATCATTTAGTAAGTTATAGCACATTGATTTAATAGAATATTACTCAGAAATACCAACTAATTATGTAGACTGCAAAAAGGGGGGAAAACTTTATAGTATTAAGGGTAGGGTATAAAGTGGTATGTACACTACATTTGCCACTCTGTAAAATATAAAGGTATGTGGAATGGGGTTATAAAGTGATTTCCATTATAGCATGAGATTATGGGTCAATTTTTTTCTATCATTATTTTACATTTTGTGTTTGCATCAATTTTTCCATTAATAATGTGATACAAATAAATAAGTACTTCTCAAATGTCTCTTTCTTAAAATAAACATGGACATTCTGTACTATCTACAGTATTAATTCCACAGATTTGACAAATCTCCTAAAGGAATATTTAACTTAAAATATTGCCAAAACAAAAGTAGTTCTTTCAGTAAATAGTTAACTGTGAATTTCCAGTAATTGGTCTAGGAAATATTAGGGTCATTTATCCACCCAAGATAACAAATTTCATGCTTTCTTACTTTACCTTTGCTATATGTTCCAGCCACCGGCCTAATGCAATAAACACAAATAGCATAGGAGGTGTGTCAAAGAAAGTAATAGGGTTTACTTTGGCTCTCTCATACATTGCAACCAGAAGAATAACCAAGGAGTAGGCAAATGCAACGGTGGTTGCCAGCACAATCAATACATCCATATTTGCAGTTTTATGCTTCAGTGCTTTGTAGGCCTGAACATAGAAGTACCAGCCTCCAAAAAACTGTAATACAGAAACAATAATGATTCCTTTTTTAAAGATACTGAAATTCACTATATACCTCAATAACTAAGATACAGTATCAATGGTAACTTCTTTGGCTTTTACCTAATCCATAAACACTATGGAGAAATTTCAAACTGAAACAATACTGTTTGAATTTTAGCAAATATGTGTGTGTAGGGATTCAAATTGCTGTACAAGCCCTTGACAGTTGTCCTCTATGATCCAGTAGATATTCCATAATATAAGGAATGTCAGATGGTTCCTGGATTTTTCTTTTTATGCTAGCAAAAACAATAACTAGGGGAAAAAATCACATTCTTTTGACAAGGATTTTTTACTTAAAACACACATCCCCCTTTCTAAAATTCAACCTAAGGGGTATATCACAATTTATTGGATCTGTTGGCTATTTTCATTGGTAAACATAACTGAAAAGCTTATTTTTCATTACTATAGGGAAATATACTAAGATGTTTTAAAAATCATTATTGCCTTTTATAGAGGTCAGAAAAAAGAATAGATTTATTAGACGGAAGTGTTCTACAGTAAAAGTTTATCTCAAAAGAAGAGTTGAAAATGTAAAGAAAGTAATGAGCTTGTTAGATAGAAATAATAAAACTAATATAATTATGATAATTGTTTTATGTTATATAATCAATTAATAATATTTACTATAATACAATTTTCATTTTAATGTACATTACTATTATACTTAATGCATATTTATTTATACTTAATCTACACTAAGTATAAATAAAATTATATATTTTATTATAACTTTAAATATAAAGTTATACATAATAGTAGATATGAATACCAAACTGATACTTGAATATGAACTGAACTCTTATTCTCTGCTTTGTCACTAAATATCCTTAGGGTTAAATGGATTTATTATCTACTTTAACCACTCAGTTTAAAATTATTTCTGTAAAGCATAAAATGATTAGATTTCTGGCAAATCTGTTCTGCAATTGAAAATAGCCTTCCTTATCACATTTTGGCTATTTTTCATTATTAACAAATATATTTCCTAACACTTACCTGGACAGGTACACACAATAAAAAGGATAGCAAATTCATAATGGACAATCCCGGCAGGATGTGGCGCTCCAGGAACATAGAAGAATGAATGTTGACCATTTCTTCTTGACTCATGTTCTGATTATGGTGTAGAGTTGAAAGGTGGTGGTCCATAACCATCATATATATCATGAGGCCCATTACAGGAATACAGAAAAATAGGCTTACAAGGAATGAACGTCTCCATCTTAGGGAGAAATGAAAAATAATTCCAGTAAGTAGCTAATGGTTAAAGATTCTATGTACTATAGAGAAATACAAATTGTGACCACTCCACCCAGTATAAGGATTATAAAAACTCACATGCTAACAATATATGAAATTTTTAACAAGGAATCAAAATCACTGACACTCTAAACTACTTACTGTCTTATTTCTCGTTTATGGTCTAGGTGGCTTGCTGACCGATCCTTCTTGACCAAAGCAGCTTCAAAACCTAAGCTCTAAGGAAATTCATGAGAAAAATTATATCATTGAATGTATAAATGTATCACATAGAGAAATTCTAAGCCATGATGGTTTTATTAAGAACTTCAATTACTGAGTGCAAGTCACTCTGGGGAATACAAAGTTGAAGATGTGCTTCCTTCTCTCAATTACATTTGTCTCTAATCTTCCATCAAAAAATGAGTATTTCTTCAACTCTAGTTAATGTGTATCCTACTGTTCTCAACCTAACGATTTAACTCAAGTACAGTTGTCCTCAGTAGAGGTTCTTATTTTATCAAAAAGTAAACTAAAGTCTCCAATAAGTTATTTTGGAAAAAAGCAGAGTCTGTTACTTGGCCAGGCTGACAGTATTTGATGACCTACTAAAGAGAGAATTCAGCTGTAGAATCATAAATCTTAACATTTAGACAAGTACTATCTACTAGTATTGATACATAGTAATCATTTTTATTTTAGTTTTGACATCTATCCATCCATCCCCTGAGCTAGTATAAAAAACTGAATGATAGGCCATAAAACCTAGCATCATACTAAATATGTTATTCAAGGCTTTGCACATGCAGCCTTTACTTTTATTCTATCAAAAAAGAAAAGATCACAAACATAAATGTTCCTCTGTAAAACAGTATTTAAGTAAAACTACACATAAGTATGACTCATATGAGCACAGACAGCAACAAACACTGTATTTTAAACTGCTTACAAAAACACTACCATCTTTCATTTGTTAGTGTAGTACAGTGAAAAGAGCAAGTATGAGATTTTGAGTCAGAAAGATTAGGTCCGGCTGTGACACTTACTAGCTATGCGACTCTGGGCAAGTAATTTAACCTGCATTTACTCACCTCCAAAATGAAGGTGACAGTACTGCTGTGAGAATATTAAGATCTGAACCTCTGCAATCTTAGTAAATGGCAAATAGCAGATACTCAAAAATGGTAGCTTCATAAGATGTGAATGGTATTATTATTACCTATATTAATAGGATCTTATCTGAACTATTAACATGCTTTAGATCATTAGGGCACCAATGCTATATCACATTGAAACTTTCAAAGCACTTTCACGTGTATTACCACTTAAGATTTATTGAAGAACACAGGATGAATTTGTTACAAAGAAAAGGGTTTGGTCTTGTAAATTTCTTATTGTAACTTAAAAATACATAATTTGCTTTGACATGAAAAACAACAAGGCATCTAGCAGGATGCCTCACTTTCTAAATGATTAATATAAATCTTACTCATAACAAATTGTACTATACTTCCATTTCCTAAATATTTTTAAGTGATTTGTGGTTCTATCTTAAGTCAGCTCCTGATTAATAGTGCCTAACTCTTCCAGACAAAGACAGAAAAAAAGGCAGACACATTTACATTAAATTTTGAGACAGATGTCGTCTAGAGTAACCAAAAGGGTCCAGTTTTTGTCATTGTCTCTATCTGATACAAACCAGAAGTGATTCAAGGGAGTGCTGATTGAATAGGTAAGAACACAGAAATGCAGTCTTGGCACTTACTTCAACTGTATGGATAATATCTCTGGGACCAATAATTTCTGGATCATATTTAATATGTGCTTTGTTGGTTGCCAGGGCCACAGAGCAGTAGAAGATCCCTCTGTGTTTTGTGAGGGTAGACTCTATTTTATGTACACAGGAGGCACACGTCATTCCTCTCACCTGTTAAAGACAAAGGCTTTGTTATTCAGGAATATACTTCTCCTCCATTAAACATGAGTTATTACTTTAAACTAAAAGAACTCTTGTAGAACAGGATTAAAACACAAGGTCTTATCTGTACTGTTAGTATGCTTTATGTATCATCATTAGAATGCTGTTTTTATATCACACTGAAAAAATATGGCCCCAGCTGCAACAGGTTAAATAGTGGATCTCATTAAAAGTCTCCCTCTTCCTGTCACTACTCAATGACAAAGGATTTGATACCTATCATTGTTTCTTATAGTCGATGCCATGCTTCCCTCTAGATTTTTTTTGCATCCTGCTGAAGCATACAGCTGTTAATATTACTTTTAGCGAAGGTTAATGGATGACAAAGTGCTGTACCTTTGCCTGAAAAAGTATTTTGCCCTAGATATCAGTAATGGTGGAGTACAGATCTCTAAATATTCTCTCCTCCATAAAAGCAATGAAAAAACTGGCAAAAATTGTCAGAACCAACTTCTTTAGAAATTTGGAAATTAAACAAAAGCTTGCAGGAACCCAGGAAATATTTAGTCAAATAAATCAGATGAATCCTAATAAAATAGCAAGTAATGTGGCATTATAATTTGCATATTTCCATTCACTGCCTTCCAGGTCTATGGGAGCCATGAAGACCAATCAGTTTACAATCATGGTGAAAAACAGTTTACAATCATGGAAGCCACCAGAGAGATCAGAAAAGGGTTGCATCTCCTTCAAAGCCTCATTCCCAGAGAACTGTCATCGTTTGATCTGTCTGATGGTTTCCTGAAACATCCCACTTATGAAGATATCTATGTTTGCCCTGATGGGAACTCAGTGAGTAGAAAAGGCTTTTTCCCTGGGAGAATTTGTCAGAAACAATTAGAGGCAATTGTTTAACCTTGTGGCTGCCTGAGCCAATGGACAACAGTTGGGGAAAACAACAGGCTAACCAAAAAAAAGCCTAAAAGGAAAAGCTGGGAAGCAAAATGTCTATAAGAGCTACAACATATTCCTAGGAATCTAGAAGGTCATGCACAGCAGAGGGTTGTGTACATGTTCAGGGATGAAAAGACCTGAGAAAGTCCTAACCTGTCACCTCAGGCTGACATTTAGGCTCTGCACAAGCAGGAAGAGAAGGTTAGGGGAAAAATTGACAACTGCATGGCTTAATGTTTTGAAGGCAAGCCCCAACATTTATATAGAGCATCTCAACAAAGACTGAGAGACTTACTGGTTCCAGGTATTTAAGGAAATCTCTGTACAATCATTAGCTGACCAGTGAGGTAACCAAGCATAAACTTCAGTGGCCACACAGAACAAAGAATATAGACTTTACAGAATTCATTCAGAAAAGTCACTAAGCAAATAATAACAATGACAAAGAGCAACAACAACAAACTCTGATGGTGTGGGTGAAGAATCTTATATCTGGAGTTGCCACATTATATTTGCAACAAAAAACTGTGAGATATGCAATGAAACAAAATGGTATGGTCCATACACAGGAAAAAAGCCACAGAAATTGTCACTGAAGAAGCCCAGGCACTGGACTTACTAGACTAAGATATTACATCAGCCATTTTAAATATACTTAATGAACTAAAGGAAACCATGTCTAAAGAATTAAAGGAAAGTATGATAACAATACCTCAATCAATAGAGAATATCAATAAAGAGAGATTAATAGTAAAGTACATGAAAAGTCAAGTTGAACAGTACAATTTCTGAAATACGAGCAGTGACTAGAGGGAAATTTATAGCTATAAACACAAAAGTTAAAAACAAGAAAGATCTCAAATAAATAACCTAATCTTCCACCATTAGGCACTAGAAAAAGAAGAACAAACTAAAGCAAGCAATAGGAAGGAAATAATAAATATTAGAGTAAAAATTAACAGAAGAAAATAGAGAAAATCAACAAAACCAAAAGTTCGTTCTTTGAAAAGACACAAAATTAACAAACTTTTGTTTACACTAATGAAAGGAAAAAAAAGACTCAAATGATTAATATCAAGAATGAGTAATTCTTAATAAGTATGGGGTTTCTTTTTAGGGTTATGAAAATGTTATGAAAAATTTGATAGTGGTGAGTTACATAACTCTGAGAAAATACTAAAACCACCCAATTGTACACTTTAAAATGCCGAGATTTATGGCATGTTGATTACATTTCAATAAAGCTATTACTTCTTAGAAGTCTTTAAAAAATAAAAATCTACCCATTCCTTTTAATAGCCGCTCAGTATCCCACTGTATGAACATATAATTAATGTAGTCCCCAATGACTGACATTTCATTTTTTTGTTTTGCTATTAAAAACAGAATTATGGGTGGAGACAAGATGGAGGTATGACCAGAGTAGCAGAAATCTCCTCCCAAAACCACATATATTTTTGAAAATACAACAAATGCAACTCTTCCTAAAAGAGAGACTAGAAGACACAGGAAAATAGCCAGACTACATCCACACCTGCGAGAACCCAGAGCCTGGCGAACGGGGTAAGATACAAGCTGCAGCCCGGCGGGACCCGAGCGCCCCTTACCCTAGCTACTGGCGGGAGGAGAGGAGTCGGAGCCGGGAGGGAGAAGGAGCCCAGAACTGCTAAACATGCAGCCCTAGCCATCCACACCAGAGGGCAGAAACAGTGCATGTGTGGGGTGCTGGAAACCAGGCAAACAGGACAGTAAGACCTGTGAGCAGGTCCCTGCAGTTGCTGCCACTGGGACAAAGAAAAGCAAGTGCTTTTTGAAAGTCTTAAAGGAACAGGGACCCCACATCTGGATGGAAGTGTCCCGGGGCACTTAGTCCAGTGAATGGGAATCCCAGGGAACTCTGGGCACCCTAATCCCCTGGACAGCAAGGCAGCTCAGAGGCCTCTCACAGAGACAATCAGCCTCCCGGCCATTTCCCCTCTGGCGCGGATCCGCCATATAAGAGCAGCAGCCTGAGGCAGGCCACACCCACAGCAACTGCAGAGCAAAACTCCACAGCGGCCGGGCAAGAATCAGAAGCCCCATCTGCCTGCAGCTGCCCAGCACAAGCTGCTAGAAGTCGCTGCTCTCCCAGGAGAGGAAGGCCACAAACCAACAAGAAGAGACTTTCTCCCAGCCGTCACTCACGCCAGCTCCACAAACTATCTCTATAGCCATGAAAAGGCAGAATTTGAAGCAGACCAAAATCATAGAGGACACCCCTGAGAAGAAGATTGACCTAACCAGTCTTCCTGAAAAAGAATTCAATATAAAGCTCATAACCATGTTGACAGAGCCACAGAGAAATATACAAGAGTTAAGGGATGACGTCCAGAGGAAGATTACAGAAAAGATACAATGTCCGGAAGGATTTATAAGCAGAATGGATAAGACGCAAGAGGTCACTGATGGAATAGAAACCAGAGAACAGAAACACACAGAGGCTGATGCAGAGAGAGATAAAAGGATCTCCAGGAATGAAACAATATTAAGAGAACTGTGTGACAAATTCAAAAGGAACAATAGCTGCATTATAGGAGTACCAGAAGAAGAAGAGAGAGAAAAAGGGATAGAAAGTGTCTTTGAATGAATAATTGCTGAAAACTTCCCCAAACTGGTGGAGGAAATAATCGATCAGACCACAGAAGTACACAGAACTCCCAACAGAAGGGACCCAAGGAGGACACCACCAAGACACATAATAATTACAATGGCAAAGATCAAGGCCAAGAACAGAGTCTTAAAGGCAGCTAGAGAGAGGATAAAGGTCACATACAAAGGAAAACCCATCAGGCTATCATCAGACTTCTCAAAAGAAACCTTATAAGCCAGAAGAGAATGCCATGATATATTTAATGCAATGAAACAGAAGGGACTTGAATCAAGAATACTGTATCCAGCACGATTATCATTTAAATATGAAGGAGGGATTAAACAATTCCCAGACAAGCAAAAGGTGAGGGAATTTGCCTCCAACAAACCACCTCAACACGGCATTTTAGAGGGACGGTTCTAGACGGGAGCACTCCTAAAACTAAACAGACTTCACCAGAGAAAATAAAATCACAGCAAAGAAAGCAGACCAGCGAAATACTAACTAAAGGCAAAAAATAAAATCAACTACCAACAAAAGCAGTTAAAGGAAACACAAAAGAGCACAGAATAAAACAACCAACATACAAAGAATAGAGGAGGAGGATTAAGAAGGAAGAGAAAGAAAGAATCACCAGACAGTGGTTATAACAGATCAGAAAGCGAGCTAAGTTAGACAGTAAGATACTAAAGAAGCTAACCTTGAACCTTTGGTAACCATGAATCTAAAGACAGCAATGGCAATAAGTACGTATCTTTCAATAGTTACCGTAAATGTAAATGGACTGAATGCACCAATCAAAAGACATAGAGTATTAGAATAGATAAAAAAGCAAGACCCATCTATATGCTGCTTACAAGAAACTCACCTCAAACACAAAGACATGCACAGACTAAAAGTCAAGGGATGGAAAAAGATATTTCATGAAACAACAGAGAGAAGAAAGAAGGGGTTGCAGTACTAGTATCAGACAAAATAGACTCCAAAACAATGAAAGAAACAAGAGATAAAGGACATTACATAATGATAAAGGGCTCAGTCCAACAAGAGGACATAGCCATTATAAATATATATGCACCCAACACAGGAGCACTAGCATATGTGAAACAAATACAAACAGAACTAAAGGAGGAGATAGAAAGCAATGCATTCAGTTTGGGAGATTTTAACACACCACTCACTCCAAAGGACAGATCCACCAGACACAAAATAAGTAAGGACACGAAGGCACTGAACAAAACACTAGAACAGATGGACCTAATAGACATCTATAGAACTCTACATCCAAAAGCAACAGGATACACATTCTTCTCAAGTGCACGTGGAACATTCTCCAGAACAGACTACATAGTAGGCCACAAAAAGAGCCTCAGTAAATTCAAAAAGATTGAAATTCTACCAACTAACTTTTCAGAATCAGACACAA